ACGTCAAGCGGATTGATACGTTTTTGACGTAAGTCATTGTGACGTAGGCAACCCAGGTTATACGCTATATTCTATTTTTTTTTATCCAATCAAATGACGCTTTACAACCAAAATTAAATTATATTACTATATACATACTTTTTCTCAGAAATATAATACCTGGTTTAAAATCCGCGGGTAAAAAATTACGCAGGTTTCATAGATTGCCACAATATGTTGATAAAATGTAACCGCATACATATAACGTAACTTTATTCCATACAGAAAAGAAATCAAATCTTCAGTATTTATTTAAAATACACATGAAAGAAGAAATTATACGATCTTGATAAAAATAACAAGTTTTGCCCATCATAAGTCCAATTTGGTTTAAAGACGCTTATTAGACGCTCATTGGTTAATTTGTTTAATATATCCAATTAAACATGTTAAAATGCAGGAAAGATATAAAAGTTAATGTAAATACATACACCAATATACCTTAACTTTAATCGCAACTTCTTACACCTTTCCAACAACCGGTAAAGAAAAAACAACGGTGTATTTTTCCAAGCTCGCCGGAAAAGTCTGAGAAGATGTGATTGACGTTAACTTATTTCCTGGCAAATCATCGTCGGCCCAAAATTATTTCAAGGACCCATTTAGTCATACTATTCGTGAGTCCTTCAGTTTGTACGTCGGCGCAGGACCGACGGGCCGACGCTAATTTCGAGCACTGGTTACAGTAAGCCAAAGTTAGTCTTCTTATAGATAAATCGAAATCTTCATACTATAAAACAGCGATTGAACAGAGTTCAAATCCCAAAGAAATGTGGAACTATCTTAATCAATTAACATGTAATTCAAAGAATATAACTCCATCTCATGTGTTTTCTAACGGGGGAATTATTGATAATTTACAGGATATTGCAAATACTTTTAATAACCACTTTTCAGATGTCTCAAACAAGCTTCTTTTGGAAATGCCGAAACATGAGTATGATCCAAATATATAACGTAATTTTGTTAGGTCTAAGCTTGATGATGAAACCTTTTTTAGTATTCATCTTATTGAGGAAAGTGAAGTTTTTAACATGTTAAATTCTCTTAATATCAATAAATCAGCTGGCGTTGACTTTATTGGACCTCGTCTTTTGAAAGTCGCATCTAAATATATATGTAAACCTATAACTCATCTTATTAACGCTAGCATAGTAAGTGGTATTTTCCCGACAAATTTAAAACAAGCCAAAGTAACACCTATTTTTAAGAAAGGTGACAAAGCTGACCCGAATAATTATCGTCCAATTTCTATTCTACCGACTATATCTAAATTGATAGAAAAACATGTGGCTAAGCTAATACAAAATTTCACTAATGAATTTAATCTACTAACACAATCCCAGTCGGAGTTTAGAGAACTCCATTCGTGTCAAACTTCACTTACAAAACTAACAGAAAGTTGGCTTAATGCAATGGATCGTGGTGAACTAATCGGTATTACATTTATAGATTTTAGTAAAGCATTTGATTTGGTGAATCATAATATTCTTCTAGAGAAATTAACCCATTACAAATTTGACCATACAGCTATAAAGTGGTTTAAGTCATATCTTTACGACAGGACCCAGTGTGTTAAATTTGGAACATGTGTCTCCAATATTCTACCCGTCACAGCAGGAGTACCACAGGGCTCAATTTTGGGTCCACTTTTATTTTTATTGTACATAAATGACCTTCCATTACATGTAAACAATTCAAATATTGATATGTTTGCTGATGATGTAACTCTGTATTCTAATAATCATAATGCAAGATGTTTAGAAAATACACTAAATTCAGATCTTTGCGAGATTGAGAAATGGTGTGCTCAAAACCAAATGGTATTAAATGTAGACAAAACAAAATGTATGCTAATGGGGACACAGCAAAGAAAATCAAAACTAGATAATCCAAATTTACAACTTCATGCCTCAGACAAAACAATTGAAATGGTTGAAACTGAGAAACTTCTTGGTGTACATAATGATGATAAGTTACAGTATGCAAATCATATTGATTCAGTTTGTAAAACCATAAACTATAAGTTATTTACTCTACGTAAGATAAAAAAATTTCTTCCCCTACATACCAGAAAACTATATTACAATGCTTATATTCTACCATCTATTGACTATTGTCTGACTATTTGGGGTAATGCCCCCAAGCAGGACATGGGTAGACTATTTAAATTACAAAAAAAGGAAGCCAGGACTATTCTTGACGCAAGTCCTGATTCTTCTAAACCACTGTTTGAGAAACTTGGATGGTTAACAGTTTATGAGCTAGTTGATCTATACAAATACATATTATTATACAAAATTTTCAGCGGAATGACTCCCGAATATCTTTGTAATTTATTTGAATTTCACTCCTCAGCCTCTTATAACCTGCGATCTGAAACTAATTATGACCTTAAATTACCTAAGTTCCGTACAAACTTATTCAAGACCTCTTTTCAGTACTCAGGTGTGCACCTATGGAATAAACTTCCCCAGCACATAAGACTCTCTCAATCTCTACGAGCATTTATGTGTAATGTAGAAAATTACATTATCAGCTGTCGTACAATTATTTGAGCACAGTAAGATTTTGATATCCTATCTACAATGTGATCGTTAGTTGTATGTACATATTACCAGGCATGGACACTCTATTCATAATTTTGTGATTGTAATTCCTTAAGACTATATCTGTTTTATGTTGAATTGTATATTTACATGTGTACTTGTTTATCTTTGTAATTGATATATAGAAGGCCCTGGGGAAGAATAGTGCATGCACTAACCAGGTTACCTTCTTTAAATAAAGTTTTATTTTTATTATTATTATTATTATTATTATTAAGATATTCAACTATTCTTCTAACTGTAATTTGGCGATCTTTCGTTACAGATTGCTCAACTAAGGATACATCTCTTCTCGAGCTTGCTTTCACTGGGCACCAGAACAAACATCATTTTAACACCTCCCTTCCTTCACTAAAACAATCAATCCAATTAATGATTGAACTTCTGTCATGTCTTTTTGTCTTCATAAATCGTGTACAAATTATTGTATGCCTATGAAAAGGAATTTCTAAGATAAACGTTAAACTTTAAAGTCGTTCCTTGCTCAAGTACGACTGAGTCAACCATTTTTTATCACGTCATCTACATATTGAGTCATTTTTATATCGTGACGTCCAAACGTGGAGCAAATATCTGCTATTTATAGAACATGTTTATGACTAAATGTGTGCCAAATTTCATTTTGATCTGAACTGTGGTTTTGTAAATAACGAGATAGTTCACGAACTTTTTGATCACCCCTCGTAGTTTAAAAAATGTGTACATATAAATTTAAGAACATAAAATATCACAATCATATATCCAAAAAGAAAAAAAAACTTTGATTTACTATTAATAAAAACTTTGATACTGCATTAAACTATACTTAACTTTGGTAAACTATAGTTTGTTTGTTTGTTGTTGTTGTTGTTTTTTTTTTTTTGTTTTTTTTTTTTTTTGTTTTTTTGTTTTTTTTTTTTTTTTTTGGTTAGAGACTATCAGTGTTTTTCATATAGTGATCCTGATACAAACAATATATATAGATATAAAACTTTATTTAGATACATACTTTTTTTCCCTACAATAGAGATAATATAATTCTACAGACAATAATTATAAGTACACAAATTACTGGGGAAACAAGAAGTCAGTGCTCTCTAGTGATACCCCACCCGCACAGACAGACGGACAAGATTTGTACCAAAAAAAAAATATCACTGTATAGCATGCCAAACCAAAGAGTGTATTATAATTTTAAGCATCTGCGATGAGTTGTTGCATTGAAAACTGGAACGAAAAAAAAATGTTTCGGACAGACAGACACAAACACTCACCCAGCACACACAACAGAGAGAGTCGCAGGGTACAAGGTATATACCCCCCATTTCCTTCGAAGCGGGGGTATTAATTCATGTAATAAATTAAGATAAATGAACCTTAAAGAGGGAAAAAGATATTGCATGATATCAAAATTGAAGCAGTAATTACAATACGTTTTTTTTTGTTTCAATGCAATGGATGGAGGCAGGTTGAAAGCTGGCACAAATTTTAAGCTAGAAGTATGGGGCCACAAATTTGTCCTTTAAATAGTTTCCGATAACATCCATTCCATACAGGCATATCGTTGTCAGAAACATATCATGTCATTTTCGGAACAAAACCTGTGAGAAAAAAAACAACAAACAAGAAAAATGAATTTATGCTCCTCAATAACGTATACTCAATGGAATGCAAGCAAGAAAAAAACCATACCACGTACATTGTATATATATTATGCTAGTATTGAGAAGTGGCGTTAAGGAGGGGAAGCTACTTTGCTCTTCCCCCAAAATACATTTGAAAGAATTCCATTATTTGTACACCGATATATAAAATTACCTCCTTTGACGGAAGATTCATTAGTCCGTACAGTTTTAGCGCCATTGGTTTGTTTGGGTAGCCAAGTCACAAATGTAAGTTTTACTCTTATTGTTTTTAATAAATTGGTCCTAGAATTTATTTTAATTGTAACTTTTTTGAAGGTTTACTGCTACGTATATTATCATATGGAAATTTATTATTTATTTTCAAGTGTAAACTTTGTAATTCAGTCTGTAAGTTTGTAAATTTATTTTGCTTGGCTAGACACTTGTATTATTGCTATTTTTGAAGGTGAAATATCTTATTTACTAGTGTTTATATGAACTTGTTATATTTTTGAGCTGTGTAACATTATATTTATGTAAGTTACTGTTATTTGTAGCTTCTTACCATCATCATCGTCGTCATCGTACATCACCATACATCATTATGCTACATACTCGTACACATATGCGTATCATATGCTCCAAAGATGTAAATAAAGTTTTGAACAGTGCTTTGCGTGGTGTATTGATTGATGGTTAACTATGCAAAAGGCAGATTAGTTAGAAGATTTTTTTGGACTAGTCTACAATGGCCGACAATCCTGTTCCAGGAGAACCTGATCCAGGGAAATTAGAGCAAGGTAGGCATGAACCTGCTCCAGGAGAAACTGATCCAGTGAAACATGATCCAATACTTCAGGATGAAGAACTAGGACAGCGTGTTTACAGACAAAGGGTAAGAACAGTCGCAGGCCAAGAACTTTACTTAGGTAAAATTAATGACTATCAAAAGAAATTAAGCAACTTATGAAGAAAAATGGAAGATTTTCTGATTCTTGTTGATCAGTCAAAGGATAGTGATTTAAAGAAACTACGCAAAATTGAAGATGAACTTTTAAGACTTAACACAAAATATTCAACGATGAGTCAAACGAAGAATGACCCAGCATTCATGTATGAAAGTTCAAGAACATTAGCTAGTTCAATACCTAAGAGAGAAAATAAGAGAGACTTCATTGTGAATCGGAAGACTTATGTACAGCATGAAACTATAAAACGTTGTCCAATTCATAAACCTGAACATTCATTATTGAGTTGCAGACAGTTTCTAATCAGAACACCTGAAGATCAACGCAAGTTCTTGAAAGAGAAACATATATGTTTCAAGTGTTGTGAATCGACAAGTCATGGCTCACGTGACTGTAAAGTGAAAGTAAAGTGTGACAAATGTGGGAGTACTAATCACCGGACTTTAATGCACGTCGACAGGTTGAAGAAAGTGAATGACAATCATGTTGAACCTAGAGTAGAGCATGGCGGGGAGAGTCGTTCATCTGAAAATGTATCATCCAAGTGTACAGTGTTATGTGACAAACCTTCCATTGGACGTTCATGTGGAAAAATTGTGTTGGTAAATGTTTATCTACAAGATCAACCCAGCAAAGTTGAGAAAGTGTACGCCATATTGGATGATCAGAGCAATAGGACACTTATTTCCCTTAGTCTATGTGACCGTCTAAATGTTCATGGACCTTCTCCCCAGTATTCTCTCTCATCATGTGCAGGAACAACTACCATGACAGGAAGAAGGATTGATGGCTTGTTTGTTCAATCAGTGTCGAATAATTATCATTGTGAACTTCCAGTAGCAATTGAATGTGATGAAATTCCAAATGAGAGGTCAGAAATTCCCACACCTGATGTTGCATTTTCCCACAAACATTTGAACTGTATTGCACATCAACTACCGTCAATTAAAGAAAATGTTAATATAGGATTGTTAATCGGCAGAGATGTTCCAGAGGTACATCATGTGTTTGATCAGATTACTGGACCAAAAGGAGCCCCATTCGCTCAAAAATTAGGATTAGGATGGGTGATAATCGGCGATGTTTGTCTTGGAAAAGTACACAAGCCTGACCATGTGAATGTTATGAAAACTTCAATTCTTAACAATGGACGTGTGACACAGTTTGAACCTTGTGAAAACCATTTTCATGTGAAAGAAATTCATGCTACAGAAACTTGTGACACTTTGTTTCATCGATCACATGATGATGACAAGATAGGATTGTCCTTGGAAGATCGCAAATTTCTAACCATCATGGATCAAGAGTTCCACAGAGATGAAAACAGCAAATGGATTGCTCCACTTCCATTTCGTTCACCAAGGCCTGTTTTGCCAAATAATCGTCCACAAGCATGGAGGAGAGCACAGATTCTGGACGCAAGTCTGCAGAAAGACAAAGTGAAAAGAACTCATTTCATTGAATTTATGAAGAAAGTGTTTGACAGTGGTGCTGCTGAAGTAGCCCCTACTCTCAGCACAAATGATAAGGAAGTTGGTATCTTCCCATCTTTGGTGTGTACCACCCAAAGAAACCAAATCAAGTGAGAGGAGTATTTGACTCATCCGCTGTCTACGAGGGAATCTCACTCAACAAAGTGTTGATGAAAGGACCTGACCGTACTAACAGTCTCCTTGGAAAATTGATTCGCTTCCGCAAGGACAAATATGCTCTCATTGCCGACATAGAACAGATGTTCTACCAGTTTTATGTTAAAGAGGAACAAAGAGACTTTCTTAGATTTTTCTGGTACAAAAATAATAATCCAGAACTCCCTCTCATCGAGTACCGAATGTATTTGGCAATGCTCCGTCTCCGGCTATAGCAAGTTACGGCCTTAGGAAAATAGCAGAAAACTGTGAAGACACTTATGGTTCAGATGTGAATTACTTCGTGCACAACAACTTTTATGTAGATGATGGGTTAGTGTCATCACCATCTCGTGAGAAAGTGTTGGACTTAGTCATGCGTTCTAAAACAGCTTTACGGGATATGGGCAAGATCCGCCTACATAAGATTGCTTCCAATGATCGGGAAATTTTGAACATTTTTTGTAAAGAAGACCTGAACAAGAATCTTAAAGATATTCAGTTTGGAGAAAATACTTCTGTGTTACCTATCCAACATAGTCTTGGTCTATCGTGGGACTTAAATACAGACTGTTTTGTGTTCAGAATTCAAGAAGATGAAAAACCACACACTCGGAGAGGAATGCTTTCATTTCTTAACAGCATTTTTGACCCACTCGGATTTCTGTCGCCTGTTACCATTGCAGGGAAAATTCTCCTTAGAGAAACAACTGGTATTGAATGGGACCAGCCTCTACCATCCTCTCTAGTCTCCAAGTGGAAGAACTGGAAGACATGTTTGAAAGATATACAAGATCTGAGGATTAAACGCATGTATTTACCAGTATCTTTGAGCAGTCTCAGCAACGTAGAATTACACGTTTTCGCTGATGCGTCAGAGAGAGCCATTGCAGCTGTAGCATACACAAAGGTCATAGATGCTGACAACAATATATACCTTGGATTTGTTCTAGGAAAGTCCAAATTAGCACCGGTTAAGGGACACACCGTTCCCAGATTAGAATTGTGTGGAGCCGTCCTTGCATCAGAAATCGGAAATAGTGTATTGGAACAATTAGACATGAAACCAAGTATTGTGAAATACTGTACAGACAGTAAAGTTGTTCTCGGATATCTTCATAATGAGACAAAACGTTTCTACACTTATTTATCAAACCGTGTGTACAAAATACTGAAAAGAACTTCTGCTGATCAGTGGAATTGCGTACCTTCTAGTAAGAATCCAGCTGACTGTTCTACACGAAAAAATACTTCATGTGAACAACTAACAAACAGTGAATGGCTACAAGGACCTCGATGGCTTTTAGAACGGTGTAATGACAGTGAGACCATTGAGGATTCTCCATACCCATTAATTGATGCAGAGAATGACAGAGAAATTCGTCCAGATGTCAAGGTAACAAAAACTACAGTTGAAACATCCAAGAAACCTTTAACGGAACTGTGTGAAAAATTTTCAAAATGGAGAACTCTAATCAAATCAGTTGCAATCCTTCAGCATATTGTCCAAACATTCAAACACAAGCATCATCATACATGTTCGGGATGACATGTGTGCAGAGAAAGTACAAGCGTGCAGTCATGTCAAGATGCTGAAAAATTCCTACTGCGAGAAGTACAGAAACTGTTTTTCGACAAAGAAGTCCAGTGTCTAAAAGAAAAAAGGTCTTTACCAAAGAATAGTACTATTTCAGCTCTTTGTACGTTTTTGGATAGTGATGATATACTCAGAGTTGGTGGGCGACTCAACAATGTGAAACATGTGCTGCCAAAGGGAGAAATCAATCCAATCATAGATCCTAAAAATCACCATATTGCTACACTTCTCATAAGGTTCTACCATGAATCCGTCAGTCACCAAGGCAGACATATCACTGAAGGAGCCCTGCGGCAGAATGGATTCTGGCTGATCAGCGCAAAACGAACTATATCGTCATTCATTCACAAGTGTATTACATGTAAGAAGTTGCGTGGAAAACTTGAACATCAAAAAATGGTTGATCTACCTTGTGATAGACTTACATCAGTCGGGATAGATACATTCGGCCCATGGAAAGTAGTAGCTAGAAAAACACGTGGTGGACTGATCAACAGCAAGTGATGGGCTATTATGTTCAGCTGTTTGTCTACAGGAGCAGTTCATATAGAGATCATAGAAGAAATGTCAATTTCTTCCTTTATTAATGCACTACGTCGATTTGAATCGTTACGTTGACCTTTGACAGTGTTCAGATCTGACAGAGGAACAAACTTTGTTGGTGCAACAGATGAACTTGGGTTACAGACTTTAAATGTTGAAGATGGTCCTATCAACAACTATTTGAATCAAACTAGAGCAGTGTGGATTTTTAATTCCCCTCATTCGTCCCACATGGGAGGTTCATGGGAGCGCATGATTGGTCTGACGAGGAGGATTCTCAATTCCATGCTGCTGGATCCAGATGCCAAACAGTTAACTCATGAGACCTTAACCACTTTCATGGCAGAAGTTTGTGCCATTATGAATTCCAGACCTTTGGTACAGATCTCCTCGGATCCAGAATCGACACTCGTTCTTAGTCCTGCAATGTTGTTGACAGGACAAGTTAACTTCTTACCTGTTTTACCAGAAAGCGTAGACACAAAAGACATGCATCGTGCCCAATGGAAACATGTTCAAGTACTTTCCGACATGTTTTGGAAACACTGGAGACAGGATTACGTACATAATCTTCAGTATCGACGTAAATGGAGAGAAGACCGACCAAATTTGAAGATCGGTGATGTTATTCTATTGAAAGATGCAACAGAGAATCGCGTCAACTGGCCTCTAGGTGTAATAACTGAAACCTTTGAAAGCAGTGATGGCAAAGTCCACAAAGCTCGCGTTCGTGTTCAGAAGGATGGACAGAATGTGATTTACACGCGTCCGATCAGTGAAATGGTTTTCCTTACAAGTGCATAGGAAAATTTTGTGATGTGAAATAGTGTTATCAACAGAATTGTGTGTCGTTTGTGATGTCATGTTCCATGATAATTGTGTCTCACAAAATATGATCTGTAAAATGATGTGATATATGTTAATATGAAGGTCATGTGTCTTAGAGTTACAACAATGATTCATTGTTACTGACGTATTGTGAGTTCTATAAACACTGTGTTCCATTGTGTTTGTCAAGTTCATGCATTTTTATTTATCATGATCCATGATAAAGCACGTTATTTGATAGTTTGATCTTTCATCAAGATTTATGAAGTATTGTTGATAACTTCACTGTCTTCAGTCATATGAGTACACTGTGTTCCATAGTGTTTTTTCGGTACATATCATGTTCCATGATATTGATAACGATGTTTTTCAGAATTTGATAGTCCATCAAGTTTCTTATTGTCATTTCTTAGAACGTACATTACTATTGTCCGGAAAGTGTTCCGCTATACATTGTACATTACTTGTATTTATGTTTGTTTGAGCTGGTAATATTTTTAATATTAGACGGGGAGTGTGCTGTTATGCAATAATCATGTTTAATTTGATCGGGTTTGGAATTCCATTATTTGTACACCGATATATAAAATTACCTCCTTTGACTGAAGATTCATTAGTCCGTGCAGTTTTAGCGCCATTGGTTTGTTGGGGTAGCCAAGTCACAAATGTAAGTTTTACTCTTATTGTTTTTAATAAATTGGTCCTAGAATTTATTTTGATTGTAACTTTTTTGAAGGTTTACTGCTACGTGTATTAGCATATGGAAATTTATTATTTATTTTCAAGTGTAAACTTTGTAATTCAGTCTGTAAGTTTGTAAATTTATTTTGCTTGGCTAGACAATTGTATTATTGCTATTTTTGAAGGTGAAATATCTTATTTACTAGTGTTTATATGAACTTGTTATATTTTTGAGCTGTGTAACATTATATTTATGTGAGTTACTGTTATTTGTAGCTTCTTACCATCATCATCGTCGTCATCGTACATCACCATACGTCATTATGCTACATACTCGTACACGCTGGTAGTTTTTATGTTTTAAGACAAACAAAGCACATTCTAAATTGCATAAAATTTCCTATCAAATGACAAAAACATGCTGTGTATTGGCAATTGAATTGATTTGAAAAAGTAGGAAGATTTCAGTTGGCTTTACAGCTCGAATTTGAAACTTAATTCGACTACTCCAAAATGGTGATACAGAGACTGAATTTTGAATCTCATTAGATTTTTCAATAAAAATGATCTGTCTTTCATGATAAATTGACAACAATAATCGATATTTTAGAGGTCTGTGTTTGCTCCGCTCCAGATTGGTATTCATTCAATCGACATTTGAGCTTTATTACTGTTCGTTATCTTCATATTTCATTCTAAAGTATGTGGAAATGCTTCCATTTTGATTTGACAAATGCATCGTAGTTTTAAACACACACACACACACACACACAGAGAGAGAGAGAGAGAGAGAGAGAGAGAGAGAGAATTGTTTATAATGTCTATCTACCGGTTAATCAAGTTGCTTTTGAGTGCATGTATTTTAAAGTCAATGATTTTAACAGCGTACAAGTGCATACATGTAATTTTCGGATATATGGCAAAAGTATCTTACAATTTGAAAAAGAAAAATTGTATAATGCTTTACATACCTAAGTATCCATATATATAGCAAACAAAAGTTCAGATGCAAACAATTTTAACCTAAACTGCAAGTAAAACTCCCATGAAACCCCAGAAACCCCAAAGGATTGGAGTCATTTAAAACGTTATCATATGGAGATGTCTATCTCTCATCCACAGAGTGCTTTTAATTAATCTATGTGCTATATACGTACACCTCCTCTGATTTTCTGAATGCTCTTCCTTAATCATAGTAATGATAAATCTTGTATTTACAAGAAATATAAAACTGTTCGAACAAATATGACATGTATAATTCGCTAAGTTGTTCAAGCAAATGTCCAGATTGTCCGAACAATTCCGATCAGAAAGCAATTAAGTCTACTTTCTTCTGAGAGTATTCATTTGTCCAAAAGAAAACCCTAATTGTCCACACAGATATCTTGTTTGTCCGTCCGAAGATCAAACTTGTCAGGACTATTATTGAAAATCACTTTTTATTAGCGAGAACTTTTTTTATCCTAAATACGCAAGACGGTCTGCTCGCGAAAATTTCATTCTCGCATATATTTTATTCCAAATTGGATATATACAGCAGCAATCAGGATTC